TTATATAAAAATTAGTTAAATTGCATTTATATTTCGAAATCTTTTCTCATTGTTTAATGTTATCAAAATAGCCGTGGACAAACATCATCACATTAAGCAGTTTAGTTTGGTTTGGTTTATCTGATAATGGAAAAGCGCACGAGTACCATCTACCTAAGGGGAGAGATGCATTCGTGGAGGACTTTGTAAGGTAAACTGGCTCTCGTCTACTTCATAGAGGTCATATGACGTATTACATTAAGCGGGACATTACAGAGCGTGTTACATTAAGCAGCGCATAGTGTAGTATAATATTATTAGCTATTAATTGGGTATAATATGAGTTAATTTAGTCAACATTAGTAAAATAATATAATTTTGTAACTCTAATCATAATTTTAAACAATATAGTCACTTAAATAAAATATTTTCTGTACATACATTTCACGACGTTTTTAATTTATGAAGTAAGAATATTTATTTTCGGTAAAGCACAAAAACTTATCCTTCATTCCACAGCTTGCATACATGCGACATTTTGAATGGAGAATAAAATTAAACGTAGCTGGCGGTATTTCTCATTTGAGATAAAAAAGCGGTTGCCAAAAATTTTTTATTCCAAAATATTTATTTTCGGAAAGCACAAAAACTTATCCTTCATTCCACAGCTTGTTTACATGCGACATTTTGAATGGAGAATAAAATTAAACGTAGCTGGCGGTATTTCTCATTTGAGATAAAAAAGCGGTTGCCAAAAATTTTTTATTCCAAAATATTTATTTTCGGAAAGCACAAAAACTTATCCTTCATTCCACAGCTTGTTTACATGCGACATTTTGAATGGAGAATAAAATTAAACGTAGCTGGCGGTATTTCTCATTTGAGATAAAAAAAGCGGTTGCCAAAAATTTTTTATTCCAAAATATTTATTTTCGGAAAGCACAAAAACTTATCCTTCATTCCACAGCTTGTTTACATGCGACATTTTGAATGGAGAATAAAATTAAACGTAGCTGGCGGTATTTCTCATTTGAGATAAAAAAGCGGTTGCCAAAAATTTTTTATTCCAAAATATTTGCTTTTTAAAATTCTTTATCTATATCGTTTTAAAAACGTATAAACATCATATGTGTAATGTGAACTCCTCTGTATTATAATAATATAATGTTAAATAAAATATTTTGCACAATTGACCTGACTTCCTTGACCGCAGTGTGTACAAACCAATATCCCATTGTCATCTAAAATCATTCGGTCACACATGGTTCAATAAAATCTTTTCAGGAACAGGCCACAGCCTAGCTACCAGAAACTAATTCCATTCAGGAAACTCATACTTGTCAAGTCCATTACTAAAACATTGATCGAAGGGCGGAGTGGAATACCTTGACCTACTTTTAGCGTAAAAATTTCACTAGAGTCGAAGCGTTCTTGCTTCCATTACCCGCATATTACAGTTTATCTCAATGAGTATTTATGAGGTTAGGTGTACACGTTTGCGGGCGAAGCGTTGATTGTTTTATGTGTTTCGAGGAAGTTTTGACTTGCTGGCAGTAAATTACGAAAAATAATAATGAAAAAAGAAAGAAAGAAAATCTGAACTGATTCAGATTTTAAATGTCGCACCAGAGAATTTGTTAAAGTTTTGATGCTCTCGGTGAGCATCGCAGTTTATCAATCCGCTCTTGGACGCACGCCTGCTAACACAATTTTTTTATCTTCGAAGCTTTAAGCATCGCTTTCGTTTCACTTATAACATAACTTCAAGAACAAAACAACAAAATATTCAAGAAGAATATATCGTTAGAATTTCCCATAAAGTATTAGGGATGTTGCCATGCGTTTTTTTATATTTCTTAGATTATTTCTTTGAAAACTAGCCGCTCGAGCGGCCAATTGCCTTAAGGAATTATTATAAGCAAGGAAAAAGTATATAATTATTTTAAGCAGACCAGCTAGTTTCATTTCAGAAAAATATTTAATATTTCTAATTAGACATCTCATGATTTAAATGTATTTTTATTTAAATCAGTCAGATTAAATTATTTTTAAGAAATACGTTTATTGCTTTTCAATCACTTGGTTTGCTTCTCAGTAACAGAAAGATTCCATTTGAAAATTAAATATACTTTGCTAAATATCAACACGTCGGTGTGTGGAAATTCTGTTTGAAGCGGTGATAATATATTGCTTTCTAATGGCCGAATTTGTGTATTAAAACTTAAAGATAAATATCTTAAGTTTTGCAGATGTTAACACACTTGAATGAAAAATTAAACAACGAGTTTCGAAACCGGCTAAAATAATGATAATAATAATAAAAAAAATAATAATAATTATCACTTAAAATGCATCGATCTTTGTAATAATCTTTACGGTTTAAGTGGAAATCATTTTTTTTTAAAATCAAATAACAGAAACCGAGGATAATTTTTATGTATTTGCAATATTAGTTTCGGAGGTTTCATTACAGAACCTTCTTCTTCAGTTGTATGAATGAAAAGCAATGTTTTTCCTTTTTTTTTTTTTTTTTTTTTCGGAAATATAACTACAGAAATCACTATTTCTCTTCATAGGATACAAGAAAGGAGAAGGTATAATTCTGTACTTTAAAATCATTTTTAACCGCATTTAAAATCTAAAATATGAATGAATTATAAATTAAATGCTTGTATATTATTGTTAAATAATTAATGCTTCCAAATGAAAGAGAAACACAGTAAATGTAATATTAAAAATTAAACAAAAATATAAGCTTAGGTTTTCGTGGAATTTGGAAACAAAAAGAAAAATATCTGTTTCAAGAGCTATAAGACACGAAAAGGAAAATCAGCAAAAAAGTATTTTTTGTTGCTAAGGGAGAGGAGCATGTGCCTGATAGCAGTCAAAATAATTTTTTAATTGGTTTTATTCAAATTTTGCGTCAAACTAAGACTGTCTAATTTTAAATTTAATAAATTTCTTAATATAATTCATTTAATATTTTTTTTAATCTGGATAGAGGTTTTGTTCATATTAACAATGCATCCTTTTCCTGCAGACAAATGTGCTAACAAACTGCAGCTGCAATTTATCGAAGAACATTTTTAAATATTAATTAATTAATATCGCAATAAAAATATAAATTTGAATTATTCGCGCAAATTTATTTGCTTATAATATTGCTTTATAATTTTTCTATAGCTTAATTCGAAATTAAAAAAAATTACATGACTAATTAGCAATTAAAAACAAAACATTCATCGAATTTTCTACTTATTTTCTATTACAGAGCGAATTCCATGAATTCGATCTTTTTTGGTTTCAAAATTTCAAGCATTGGAATGCAATCAAAAACGTAACTCCTAACGCATTTTGGCCCATAAGTGGATGTTAATTATTTTATATTACAAGAGTTGTGTGTGTAAGAAAAAATATTCGATATTTAACTAAATAAACAATGCCAGTACATGAGCAATATCAGTATTTAATTTAAATTAATCAATATTTAAACATGGTAAAGTTCTAAAATTTTACTTTATATATTAAATTCGTGAAAAAACTAGTTTAAAATTATTAGAGCTTCCTTAAAATTATCAATAGTCTATTACTTATATAAAATTACTTAATGTAAAAATAATTTCTTGTAAGTTATTAAGCTCCTTTTCTTCAAATATACAAAAAGACAATTTACGACAAACGCCCCTTAATGTGATCGCGGTTATCATTCGGTTATTGTTATCAAATTATTGTTATCAAATATTGTTATCACTCAAAGTCTTTGTATACGAAAACGTGAAAAATGTATTGCTTATTGTAATCAATAATTCCGTTAATGCTATCAAAATTCCATAGAATAAATTTTCTAAACAAAATAAATTTTTCAAAAAAGATCAAAACAAATTTTTTTAAATTACCATGTGATTGAAAATTGTCAACAAATAAGGGATAAAGATCAACAAACTGCTTGATTTTTATTTTAGTCAACTATTTAAAATTCGGCTCCAGAAAATCAACTTTTTGTTTAGTTTGTGCAGATTTTTTAATAATTCTGTTGATTTCGAGAAAGATCAAATACAGGTGTCTCTTCCTCAGACAGAAAAAGGTGACAGAAGAAATCTGACGTGGCTTTCTGAGAGAAATCCGAACACATGTGATAAAAATTTTTAAGAACTTAATGATGAAATCAGTGAATTCCCTATAAATGCTGATATAAGAAACGCCCTCCGAGTATTAACATTAGGGATACAACAACGGTTATAAATATTCCGAGTCACATTACCCACAGTCAATAAATGAACTTTTGCATAACCCTTGCAAAATGTTATGAAAATAAGTATTTATATATTTCTGCCTATATTTATACTAAATTAGATAAATTCCATTGCTATTTTGAAAAATATATTTACTCATAGTTTAATGTTACCATTCGATGAATGTTGTAAAATAGCAGTGAACATATATGATCCCATTAAGCGGTGCCTGATGTATTATAATAATCAGATAACGAAAGAATGAACATTTTTGTTTAATTATAGAGTACTCTCGATTAACCGGCTGCAGATTATCCAGCATGCAAAATATACGTGCTTGGCGGTACTCACGTACGCATACTCAAGCGTAAGAGTGTGTAAAAAACAAACACACTCAAGCCCCAGCATGCTCTAAAAATCGCTGAATAGCGTCTTTAGTTTTAATCATTACGTCTTACAATTCTCTCTGTTCATCGTTTCAGTTAATCACTGGGATTTTTTTTTCGCCGTTCGTATTTTCGAGCATATTTTCTTCTTATTCTTTTCAAAATTGATTTCAAAAATTAACTAAAATATGAATAAGCAAATTAACACTGAAGAAGAAAGAATAAAAGAATAAAGAGGAATAAGGATTTTTTTAAGAAATAAACATATATTATACGCATGAAAGTTGACAGTTATTTTTATCCTTTTTTTTTAATTATCCATGACCTGCCCCCAGCAATAGCTCCGATAATCGAGAGTATACAGTACTTATACACAATTAAGAGAGTAAAGACATTAACTCACCTGTTAAAAGCGAACCAGAATATATCCAAAATTTTCTTAGCTCATTTTTTAATGTATGTCTTGAAAATGCTTAAAACATTTCCTAAAACTCTCCTTTATGTTACAACATTAGTTATTTAAAACAAGGATTACTAAAAAGGAAGTAGGAACTGACAGACGTTACAGGAAATAGATAACGTTCTACGGATGAGCCTGAAATTCCGTTTTCAATTTAACGAAACGTGATGTTTTGAGCCATACAATATATTTTTCGGTTTAGCAAATTACGGATGTACCTAAATACGCTTTAATTTAAAATTAACGGTAGTTAGTTAGAATTCCATGACATTTTCAAAAGCGTTAATTATGCTTCTTTAACTAATTATTTAGGTTCGTTTTCATATTTTTCATATTTTTATAGAAATTGATGCTTGAAAATTATTTAATTTTTTATATTATAGTCCCTCTCAATCAAAAACGAAATAATATTCAGAAATAAAATAAATCAAATTTGTGGTAAACACGATGTTAACATACTACTAACACCTCGATACTATAATAAATCGAATAATGTTTTAAAATAAAATGACCCAGCAAAATGTATATGTTCGGTACAATGTTCAACCCTTGTTTTCAGTCCTATATGATCTGTCTCGAATATTTTTTTTAATATCAAATAAACTCTTTTAGCGAACTAAAAAAACTAAAATTTTTGACTATTCAATGATTTCTCTCAGATTGTTTCTGATTACTCTTTCTTTCAAAAGCATTACTTGTTAAACGTAAGCATTGATCAGTTGAGTGCAACCAGGCACCTTCTCTTTTTCTCTACCTTCTCTTTTTTTGTGATTTTTTTTCTCTTCGCCTTTCTGAATCATAACAATCAAGATGCTGATGTCACTGCTACCGCTGGAAATAATAAAGAAGCAATAAACTTAAATATGACTTTCATCTCATTCATCTAAAAATATTTTAAAACTAACATAACTGTTCCCAAAATGCAAATTATGAAATATATCATAATAGTTGTAGGGTTTATATTTATTTTAACTAACATTTATTTTAAGTTTAAACTATCTTTCCTGTCAAGCCTTACTTTTCCCTGGAACTGCCAATGCCAGATTATGTAAATTTTAGTAGAACGCGCAAGGATTCAAATTATCAGCGGAAGTATTCTGAGTTAAATAGAAAGGAAACGAGTTCGAGATGTGCTGTTCTTACTTCGCGAGCGCGGAGGTAGTTAGCCAGAAATTGAAGAACCACGCGTTTCGGCCTATGTGCTTGTGTCGGCCAATTGTTAATCGTTCAACGTGATATTCAAAGTTTGCTGAATTAGCAGCGGTATTGTAAAATGCGGTAAGGTTAGTTACTTTTAGAGAGCCTCGTAGTTAGTCTCTTGTTATTATTTCTTTTCATGTTCTTATTTTTTATTTTAACCGCCGGGTCGGCATAGTTTGTGAGCGTCAAGAGCACGCATTTGTAATTTTTAAAGTTGAATAAAAAGGGACTTAAACCCTTCGCAGGACTCTGTCTAATTTCCAGTTTCAGCTGTCACCACTTGGTTGCGTGCAGGTTGGAGGGGCGCAACTGTACATAGTAATGTTTATAACCCCCTATTGAATTCATTACTGAAAACTTCAAATTCACAAATTTAAATATAAAAAAATAACACTTTACCTGCTTTTCAAAATAAAAGTTTTAAAACTTAGAATTTCATTTTAAATTGCTTTACAAACCGTTGCCATTCACAGTTTTAAACCAAAGACTAAATATTTAAACTAAATACTTTGATACCTTGCAGTGTCTTCGAATACTGAGTTTAATATTTTTGTATGATAATACTTCGTAATACTGTCTGAATTAACATTCCAGGAAATAAAAAAAAAATTAGCTAAAAATATCGAACCATTTTTACAACTCCAGCAGTAGCATTTTTTTTACAGGTGAAGATACTCGAAGCAAATCCAGATATCTTCATCAATTTACGTTCCATATATGAAGAATATAGCGGATATAAAAAAATATGGGAACAGTTAAACACTCCGTAATCGGAAGCAATGTTCAAGTGACTGAGTTCATGGCACGCACATATTTTTCTCATAGCCTTTTCTAATAAGAGATTTGGCATAAATGTTAAGGCAGATAGAGAGATCAAACACCGTATTTTTAATGGAATATGTAAAATGAAGCGCTGTTGAGAATGGCAAGAGAAAGCGGTCTGTTGGCGTAAATTGCATTTCCTGCGCGAATTTTGAGCAGCACGTATTGCTGCACGAAAGTGGAGCTCATTGATGTGAATTTTATCTATGGACCTACGAACGAAAAACAAGCAGTTGTCCAAAGAATGTGCAGAAAAAAGATTTCCGAGAAGACAGCTGCTGAATGTATAAACATTCGAGCATATTAATTGCAAGCTGTACGAGAGTGGACTACTCTCCTCAATCTCAGGAGCAAAAAAGTTTTAAAACGCAAAACATGTCTTAGTAGAAAGCTTATGTGATATCTCAATAACTCCAAAAGCTATAGTTTTCGTTTATGGCTTATTTGATAGTTAAAGGAGACCATTACAAAATACGCAAAAAGAAATCGGAAAATTATAATTATGGTTAAGTTACAGTAGAGTCTGAGTTAGCCAAAAATGCACACTATTTTTATGACGTCGCAAGTACGTGCTCACGAGTTAGGTCATAACGCTGTTCAGTTCTGTGTTGGAGTCGACGGCGAGCAGTTGTGGGAACGACGTACTAATTTTGTTTGTACGAAAATAAATTTAAAATGCCGGAAAAAAATATACGACAAATGCAGCGCAAGAGACTAAAATAAAAATTAAAGAAGGATTTATTTAAAGAAAATAATAAAGAACGTTTCGTTGTATATAGGAAAGAACGCAACAAGCGATGTTATGAAAATAATAAGCAGGAAATAAAACTTCTGAAGTTGCTAGTTTTCAAATAAATCAAGGTGCTTCAAAATCTTCTACTGTTACCAGTTATAAATTGTCCAATTTTGGTGTACATTTACCAGATTATAGTGGAGACATTCTTCAATGGTGTCTGTTAAATAAAAAAATTGATAGTTGGTGAAAATTTGGTGAAAGTTGGTGAAAATTTGGTGAAAGTTGGTGAAAATTTGGTGAAAGTTGCGTACAGAATATTTAAAAATCTTAGGAACTAGGCCTAAGCATCTAAACCCAACGGCTGTTTTGAAAAAAAAATGTAACAAATAGCCTTCCGTCAATTTTTGTACTAATGCTCGTGGCCACACTTTCAATCACCTGTTATAAAAAACTAAATTATGAAAAATTTTGTGTCACGGATACGGACCAATTTCTCTTAAAAGTCCTCCTCGAAGGCATCTCTTCCTTTGCGCAGATAGCCCTCGTATGCTTCGTCATGAGCAAATAAATCAAACAACAAAAACGTTTGTTTCTTTTGAACTTATCTGTCTTTCGTATTTACTTATCTCCTTTAAAGTTCCAGAATTAAAATGCAACATTTCCGCCCACACACTCCATTACGAAATCTGCTTGTCACATTTTTTCGCCAGAAGATATAGAATCCTTCTGTTTATAAACAGGATAATACAGATATACACTGCTGGCCATTAAAATTTCAGCACCAGGAAGGAATGACCTGAGGAACGTCAAAATCATATGAAAGGAAGAAGAGGTTGGGATATGCAAATGATTAGTATTTCAGAGCATTTTAGACGACGCAGGAGGAAGAAACAACATCCGAAGCACTGCATTATATTATTGTGTAGTGGATTCTTTATTCGGAAAGCTATTAGTAAGGCCGGAGTTTGCTCAGAATATCATGTTATGCCTTGAATAATAAGAAGAAATGCTTAACAGCAAGTGTCAGAATTCGATAGAGGCAGGATTGTTGCCTATCGAGAGTGTATATTATTGTTCTGTGATATCGCCAGTCGCACTGATCGACATCCAACCACTGTCATGCCAATATGGATTCAGTGGGTTGCTGTGGGTCATACTGAACGGCATGCAGCATCTCAACTCCCTCCCATGAATAACGCCAAAGAGGACCGACATAATGGGATGTCAGCCCTGCAAAACCGTACGACCACATCACGGACCATTAGTCAGGAATTAGGCATGTTCACAGCACGCCCAGTATCCGCTCGTACGGCGCCTCGACGTTTGCAGCAGCGTGGACTATCAGCATGGTGACCATTACTTCATCTTCCTTTGACAGTTCAGCATAGAGAGAGAGACGGTGACTCTGGTGTGCCGAACGAACACATCTGGATACAGGAGTGGCACAATGTTTTTTTCAGACGAGTATCGGTTGTGCGTGCAGTACTCTGATGGCCGTATACGTCTCTGGAGGCTCCGAGGAGACCGCACGTCGCTTGCTTGGATTCGATATCGGCACAGCGGCGCTAGATCTGTTGTGAGGATTTGGGCAGCCATTGGGTACACGACAAGCGCATTTCTAGTTCGGACAGACCGTAATTTGAACGCAAATTGGTACATTTCTGACATCTTAGCTCTAGAGGCCTGCTAAACTCAATCTTTCAACAAGATAATGCAAGATCATATGTTGCACGTCTTGTTCTGATTTTCCTCGGTACACAGGATATTAGATTGCTGCCCAGCTCTGCACGGTCACCAGATCTGTCACCCTTTGAAAACATCTGGTCATGAATTGCTGAGAGACTGGCCCGCCACCTTTCTTCAGCTAATACGGTTGATGAAGTAGGCTTCATCAACAGTATTAACTGCATGGAATGAGTTACCCGTTTCTGTCATCCAAGCCCAGTTCGACACCATGCCTTGGCGGGTAAGGGCCGTTTTAGTTACCAGGGGTGGCAGCTGTTTCTACTAATTTCGCCCTCTTGAAAACCCCAAACTGCTTAAAAATTGAATTATTTTATCTTCATCCCATATTGAATACGTACATTAAATATCTTTTTTATACTTTGTTGCTGCAATTTTAATGGCCAGCAGTATATATCAGAAAATTTGGTGATTTCTACCAAGGTGTTTGCGATAACACGTAAGCAGCTGCATATGAAGAACGCACGGGTTGCACAATATATGACTTACAACTATCAGATCCATATTTATGTTCTTGAAAGCTAGCACAACAGTCCTTAATCCGCGATTAAAACAAAACTCCCTTTCTT